TGTGTATCATTATCCATAAAATATTGTGGGTAGTTACACTTTCTAGAACTGTTTCTAATCAATTTATTTAATATATTCCAAGTACCTCTGATGTTATTTTTATTATCCTCTAATATTTTAGAGTAATATAGTTTCTTACATCTCCCCAAAATCTCAATTAATTTGTTCTTATATGACTTATATTTTTCTTCCGCCGTCTTTGATCTGTCCTTTATGAATTCCTTATATAATGCATTCTTCTTTTTACATGCATTCTGTAATCCCTTACTCATCCACATTTATATCAATGTTCTTAATTTTCTGCACATTTAAATAATCAAATACTGGTTAATACTTTATGATTATAACCAAACTGATGTAATTAAAATAACTCTATGCAATCGATTGTGTTTTTAATTAATTCAAATAATGATCATGGTGTAGACATCCTGTAAATTAAGTGTCATGATCATGGTGTAGACATCCTGTAAATTAAGTGTCATAAAGCAGCCCTGCTGTTTGTTTTGGTGTTTATTTTGCAGCACTATAATGACTTTATACACCTGTAGGTAGGGCTGCATGATTGTTTTGTGAGTGTGATTTAGATGGCTGCATGATTCATTGTTTTGTGAGTGTGATTTAAGAGCTTACGCCCTCGTTAAATTGAAGATTTAAATTGCAAACCGCGATATTATGTGCTCCTAATCTTTTACGTTGTGGATGGGGGTGCAAAATCGTGTTGTCCCAATAAAGGGTACTGCTCCTACAAAAGGTTAAAAACACTATTACAGTAGGTTATGTTGTGTAGTAGGCTACGGAAATTCAGTCAGTTACACATTATATTCCATAGGAATGGTGGCAGTGCGGTGTTTATTTTCACAAAGATTTAAAGTAATTTGCACAGCTTATGTTTTATTAAATCACATTCAAAGTAAGTCTCATGAAAGTAAAACCAGTTTTGAACTACTTTACACCAAAAATATAAGTAGGTAAGTGCTTGGTCTTACAGATTATTATTATCTTCACTGCAATGTTAAAATCAACTTGCATTGTTTACTGGATGGTGTAGATTGTGTTAAAATCTTGGCCACAATTATCAGGTCCATTTTTGTGTTGTTGTTTTTTTTCCTTCATTTCAGACCCTGCTCTTCACAGAGACTGTCCTCTGGACTGCAAGGTGTATGTTGGAAATCTAGGAAACAATGGAAATAAGACGGAGTTAGAAAGGGCCTTTGGGTACTATGGTCCTTTAAGAAGTGTTTGGGTTGCCAGGAATCCCCCGGGTTTTGCATTTGTAGAGTTTGAAGATCCCAGAGATGCATCTGATGCTGTGAGAGAACTGGATGGAAGGTAATAAAATATCTTCAGCACATTTCTTTGTTTTTGTCCTGTGTGTGTTTTTTGCATGTGCCTACTCATGTAATGACTTCCTGTTTAGAAACATGTGTGGCTGTCGGGTGCGTGTTGAGTTGTCCACTGGGGAAAAGCGCTCTAGGAGCCGTGGCCCTCCTCCATCCTGGAGCAGACGCCCTCGAGATGACTTTAGGCGACGTAGTCCTCCAGTGAGACGCAGGTATGCATTTCCCAGTCAATAATGCATTTTACCATTTAAGTGTCACTTGCAGTGTTTTTTAAAGCACAAATGACAAAGCAAATGTAGATTTCCCACACAGTGTAAGCATCAGCTTTCTGACTCCTTCAAACTATGTCTGGTAAAGTTGGTTAAATCTCCCAACCACATACTTGGGTAAAAATCTCTTAACCTTTCAAGCTTTGTTGACCATCAAGCCAAGGCCAAGTAGGGGGTATCGTTTCTGATTGGCCTTAATATAATTCAGTTAAATTCCTCTTAATAAAATACTTTCTCTCTTTTCCTACTATGTCTTTATCAATTGATAATCTTTTTTTATTAAATCAGTGCCAGTTTTGCTAAGTTTTCACAACCAAGTCCAGTGGCAGCTTTTGTTAGCACTTGAATATTCACAGACTCTTTAATCAGTATGCTTGTAAAACACCAAGCTCTACTAGAATGATATTGAAATATGGGGACATCTTAAGAGGCACAATTAGCACTTCATCAAACATTTTTAAAGGTGCTTTTTAGAATTACTTTCTGTAGATGGAAGTTTGGAAGTTTTGTTTTCTTTCTGAGCTCAGTTGCCATCTATTAATAAAACTGAACCCCGTTGCAGAGTCACCACCACGCTTCTCACCATCTGAGTCAATCAACTAGTCCTCTTTCAGCATCATGTGACTGCTGACCAGCGAGCCCCAGTCAGCTGGGCTGGTGTTGTCACATGACCCAGACGCACCGCCAGTCATCAGGTTCCACCAACCTTTTGGTTCCTGAGCATGCAGTTCCCAGCATCTTCCTCTTCTTCCTCCAACCTTAACCCAAATCGTCTGCGGCCCGCTTCACGTTATCAACCAATCAGCGTCTTTACATTTTATATTCTCCTCACAACTACTGTATCAGCGGGAACAGCCCTTGGCTTACATCCCTCCCCATCCTTACCCCCCAAAAAGGCAGGGAAAATCGACAACTACCCCTTCCAACCAGCCACCAACCAACTTCATATCTCCAACATTCGCATCATGTGGCAAATCCTCTCTGCAATTCGACTTCCCTCACCATCAGTCTGGCTTCCTTGCGTCATTTCTTTCTTGTCCAAATCCCCCAAAATAGTAAGTTGATTTTATCCTGCTCTTTGTAGTGTTTTAAGCTTAATCTAGATTTCAACACTGCTTGACAGTTTTCCCTCAGCAGTTAAGTCATGTAGAGCAAATTCAGTGCAGAGATCCAAAAATCTAAACATCAGTAGTTGTGGCCAAGGAACTTTGCAGTCAGTCTTTAATTTTCGTTTGGCAAAAATTAACTGTTTATCAGATGTTCACAGTGTAATTGTGTTGCTGAGTTCATTTTCACGGCTCGACATTAAGCCATCATGAGTGATCACCGTTGGAATAATGTACTTTAATGTTATCCACTTTTCACTGAAAATATCATTTCACCTGAAGTGCACCAATTAAACAGATTTTAGTGTTATGAAGGTTGTTTTGCAGCATATATTACTAATGATTTCAGTGCTACAGTCACAAGTCTGTTCACTGGTTCAAAATATGTTCCACATCAGGTTAAACTTTTAACAAAAAGTAAAAAAAAAAAACAAGTTTACTCTTTTTTTCTTTTTTTTATTTCTTCCCTTATCGAGTCCCCTGTAAGGAGCGATATTCAGTTCATGGACTTGAAGATCGTTTTGCATTAGCTGTTCACCATTGCTGTTTGAAACCAGTTTTATAGCATAGCAGTAAAAAAAAGTTAACATTTAACTCAATGTTTGTCCCAAGCTTTAATGTCGAGCCCTAATTTTGTTAAATGTTCTGAAATCTGGCTCCATGATTGGTGTTCATTGGACAAGGTTTGCTTTTTAATGAGTTGATTCTGATGCAGATGATTCTTCTATGAACAGAGAGGGAACTACATGTAACCAGTTTTCACAAGTAACTCGTGTCTCTTTAAAACTCAAGCGTAACAAAGGCTTAGTAATAGGATTGGCAAAATTTTTGTCCTAATTTTTTTCTTGTAATTTTTTTTTTTTTTTTTTTTTTACTTTACATACAACTAGATCACCAAAGAGGAGGAGCCTCAGTCGCAGTCGCAGCAGGTAAGCTATTTTTATTTAAACTGTTTGGTGTTGATGATTGACATAATTCATGTTAATTGTCTCTGGGCCTTGTTCACCAGGTCTCTTTCAAGAGACAGACGCAGATATCGGTCTCTCTCCAGAGACAAGAATCGCAAGCGCTCAAGATCCTTCTCACGGTCAAGGAGGTAAGTTTGAGTAGCCTGTTATTCCTGACTAATGTAAGCACATTAGAACTTAATCTTATTGAGAAAATATGTCTGTCATTTTGCATTTATTCACTTCATTTATTTTAGTCGCTCCCGGTCTAATGAGAGGAAATGAAGACTTCAGAGGATGGTCCATAAGCAAGATCCTGCTATGGTTGTGAAAATACAAATTTTTATAGTCTTTTTTTTTTTTCTTTCTTTTTAACGTTTTGTTTGCTAGCTCCAGACAGCCTCGTGTTGGCTTGTCATGTGTGATGTAATAGTAGTCTGATCAATTAACAATTGAAGACTTGGATGTTTTTTGTTTTGTTTTTTTCTTTTCTCTCTTTCTCATTTTACTGAAAAACCTTGTTTGACTACAAATATACTGTTCACATAAAGCAAATGCATGTTCTAAAATGGAGCACTGGATTTAGTTTTACATGGCCTACTGTTTTTTAACAGTTAAATTTAAGCATATGGGATGTTTTTATTTTTTGGTTTTCCTCTTAAAACTACTTTAGATGCATTACTGTGAGATGCATCAGCAGTAAAAAGCGCATAGCTGATACCAGTGACAGAGCACAGACTCTGAAATGATGGTGTAAAACTGGTGCTGTTATTTGCAGGCTATCCTTGAAGCCTAAACTATCACCTGTAATTCTGTTTTTGTTTATTATTTTTGGTTTGGGGGTTTTTGTTTTTTTTGTTTTGTTTTTTTTACTTGTCACTTTTGCAAAAGAAGGCATTTACTCTGTTCTACTATTCTTGATTCTCTGAGCTCTGACAATTCGTGCTGAAGTAGTTAAGCTTGTTCAGTAAATGTTTTTCCAAGGTAACATCTTTTTGTCCATGTTTTTTATGTTTGGATTGTTGCTTATGCTAATAAAATTAATACGGAAAGGCCCACCATGTAAAACTATAAAATGAGATTTTGTGACATAAATATGAAAACTTGAGCTTGATTTAAATTCAGGAAGCATTGTACGTTGGTTCCGTTAGCTGATAGAAGCTGCAAATGTGGCTCACACAGGAAGCTATCAGTCATGGTTGCAGTATAGGAACACCCCCGTGTGTGAAATGTAGCCACTGTTCAGCCGAGGCTGATGTCTTGACATCAAGTAGCTCGTTGTGAAACAACAAAGGTGCCAGATTTGGGTGGTAAGTACATGTCATTTCCACTACTTTGTAAGTCTAAAAACTTAAACTTGTTCTACTGAGCAGTTTTCTTCTAAGTTAATGTAATTGTTGAGCTTCATCCTTTCAAAAGGAATTGACTGATTTTCACTTCAGCAAAGTCTGTGTATGTTGTATGTAGGTTATTGAGGAACATAACTACCTGGAAACATTCAAAATGGTTAATGGACGCTTAATTTCTCTGCACTCAGTTGATGTTACTTGAACCCGATTTGCTGATTCATTGCATAACTAAATGTCTTATGCTTTAGGATTGAAGGTTAGAAATAATGTCTGCTCAAAGAAAGAACAAAAGACTTGGGTCAAGGCGCCGAGTGGCAAACCAAAATGAAATACCTGAGGCCGATGTGCTACATGTAACGGATAATCCTATAGCACAGCCCCACATACCAGAAGAAAATAGTGGATTCTTAAATTTATTGTGTAATCCTGACAAGTCACAGTCTGAACCCCAGTGTCCACCAGAACCTGCAAACAGAAGAAAACTGGGGTCTAGACGAAAAAATAAAGAAAGGCAGCATGTAAAGGACTCAGCAACTGAATCATACTATGAGCCTGAAAATGAATCCGAAGAAAAGACCAGGGGGAGAGAAGCGGTTGAAACCGCACTGTCACTGATGTCACAATCTGAGAAACAGGAACAATCAAGTCATAGGAGTGTGCACGATATGTCTGCGACAGCTGACAGCTCTCTGTGTTCAGGCACTACACATGGTTATGAGTTTCAAAACTCGACTTTAAAGGGCAACAGTTTGATGAATGAGTCACATGTGGAATCAGTAGTTGTGGGGTTTTCTACTACAGCAGAGATGGCCACTGATGAAAACAGCCCCAGACAAAATACTGAACTTGAATACGGTACTGAAGCAGCAACAACAGAGGAGTTGCCTCCAGATGAGGACCAAAATGAACATTTCTTTCTTCCCTTGGAACCCCAACCTGAAGACAATTCTGTGAGCATAGACTTGCAAACTAACACAGACTTCAACCCAGTTGGGAACAGAAGAAAACTAGGGTCTAGCCGTAGAAGTAAAGGAAGTCAGCCTGTTAAGGACTCTATTGCTAATTTATACCACAAAGCTCAAGACGAAGTTGTAGAAAATGTTAGGGCTAATGAGGCAATTGAAATAGCAAAAATGTCATTACTAGTAGAGACAGAAGTCTTAACTGATACTCATCAAACAAAAACACCTGGCAGTCCAGTCAGGGAAACTGAACATCTTGTTGGCATCTCTGACTTAAATAATTCATCTTTACATCCAAGTCTTGCATTCAATCAGCAGCTGATTGGCCAATCAAATGTTAGGGAGAAGCCAGATGAATTGCCGGATGTGTACTGTGTAACAGAAAAAGACACCACAGAAAGAGACGATGACACAGACTTGTTATTGCAGTGGGGAATTTTACAGGCAAACTACTTGGTGAGTGAGTCACATATGAAATCAGAAAGTATAGAGCCTTCTATAACAGTAATAACCACAGAAAGAAAGAGCCCTGGAGAACATACAGAACCTGAAAGCGTTGGTGAGCAAGCAGTAGAGATATCACCAAAAAAGTTAACAATGGAAGAAAATGATCATTTTGAACTAGCTCAAGTGAGCAGAGGTCAGCACTCAGAGAATACTGTAAACAAAGTGCATGGACAAGAGGTTAAACCAACACAAAGGCAAGAACATGACAGCTCTTTGCATTCAGCATCTACACCTAGTTATTCTTCTGAGGTTCAGATCCCCACTCCAACAAACTGTCCAGAAGCTGATCTGGACTGTTTAATTCCTAACATTCAAACTGATGTTAAAGTGGAGATGTCTGTTGAATCATTGGAGGCCACACTGGAAGGAATGGACAAATCTGACACTCTCCAGAGTGAAGATGAGGGAGTTAATCATTCACAAGATGCTGTAAATACAATATGTGAACAGGTGGTTAAAGCAGAACAAATGCAAGAACTACATGACATTCATTACTACTTTCAAAGTATAAAGCATGACACTGCAGAGAATTCTGACAACTGCTCTGTAAACCTGAAAACCCAAGATGAGTTAAGGCACGCATACCAATCGGAGTTGACTGTGAAGAATACTGATTCTGCTAGCAAGCAGGAAGTTTCAAACCCTAGCAAACAGGATGATCATCATACAACAGAAAACAAAATTCAGGCTTTAGATCAGATAAATGAAGATTTTCATGTATATGATAATGAGAAACCACACACCAGTGACATAGAAGGACTAGATACTGCAATAAGCCAGGTATATGAGATTAAAGGCCAAGGCGAGGACAATATAATGCCCAGTGCTGGACAAACAAGTGATCAGGAGAAGGAAAATAATGGGGAAAATGAAGCCCT